GCTGGGATTACAGGCTGAGCCACCGAGCCCGGCCTAGATGGCACCTTTTTTAAAAATAGATACGTGGGGTACAAGTCAAGATTAGCTACCCAAGCAGGCTGCGTGCAGGTGATGTTTGAGCCTCCAAATGGCCCTCACTTCCCCTGGTTTAGGACCAGGCAGCTTTTGTGAGGCTGTGTGCTCCCCTCCCCTCCCCTGGCAGTGCCCAGCGACTGCTGTTCCCTTCCTCGTGCCAATGTGATTCATGCCCAGGTCCCACTTGTGAGTGAGAACCCATGGTCTTCAGTTCTTTGTTTCTGGAGTTGGTGATCTCCGACTCCATCCAGTTTGCTACAAAGTCCATGATTTTGTTCTTCTTTATGGCTGCGGAATTCTCCACCACGTAGAGATGGGACTTTTAGGACACAGATGGGCACGTGCTTTGTAAACTGTGAAGTGCAGTGGAATGGGTGCCAGAAGGCAACTGACTGGCTGCTGGGCGTCCCCCAAGCCTGCCCAGCCTCTGCATCGCGGGATCAAGGAGATGCCGGCCCAGATCTGTCTCAGGAAAGAAAGAAGAGGTTTCTCTCCAAGGCCCTGGGGAGTTCGTTCCACCCACCCCACCTCCCCTCGGGTGTGCTCAGCTGGGGGCCCTCGGGGCAGCACCTGAGGCGTGATCTCTGCCATCTAGCTCTATGTGAAGTTTCTGGGTTTTCTCAGGGTAGCAGCTCGGGGGGAGTCTACCCAGGGAACAAACGCACAGGGCTGGAGGTGTTGGCGTCGCAGGCAACGTGGCGACATAGAGGCCCGGCGCTGACACTGACTCGTGGACCTCATTTTGTAGAAAACTGCCCTGCCTGCCTACCTTCTGGGCTGCTGTGGGCTCCGGGGCAACTGTGCATGTGAACACGCTGTTAGCACAACCAAACCTGCCATGAGCGCGGTCACCTTACGAGAGGCAGTGGTGACAGCAGGAGACCCCGAGGCCTCCAGGACGGAGCTGTGCCCTCACAAGGCACCTTCTGTCCCCAGGGGCTGGGGCCAATGACTGATGGAGCCGGAACCCGCACATCTGCCTCCACTGCCCGGACAGGTCCCCGTGGGTCACACCGCGTCCTTGACGTGTAGCCCTCAGACACTCTGCGTCAAGGTACCTGGGTCGTGACCTTCCGTCACCGGGAGCTGGCTCCATCTCCCGCAAGCGCCATCTCCCCTTTCACACCCCATGGGTGCCAGAAGGCGACGGACTGGCTGCTGGGCATCCCCCAAGCCTCCCCAGCTTCTGCGTCCCGGGACCAAGGAGCGGGCCGGGCCAGATCTGTTTCAGGAAAGAAAGAAGAGATTTCTCTCCAAGGCCCCAGGAGAGAAACCTCCCACTCCATCTCCCCTCGGGTATTCTCAGCTGGGGGCCCTTAGGGCAGCACCTGCAGGTCACTCAAAAGGGACACTCAAGCTGAAGCCTCAGCAAGAGGCCTGGGACCCCCGATGGGTTTAGCGACGTTCCTTGGGAGAGACCGGCAGGCCGGTGCTCCCAGGAGGCAGGAGGAGGCCGCAGAAGGTCCCAGCTGTGTTGCCGGGCATCATCAAGGGTCCTCGTCTCCCCCAGATGGATGGACGCTAGGACAAAGTTGACCAAGGGATGCCTGAGCTTGTGTGACTCAGACGTGTGCGCTGAGGTTTCATTCATTGTCAGTCCACAGATGCTCACTGAGCGCCTACTGTGTGCCTGGCACTCTTCCAGGCACCGAGGGACAAAACAGCCAAGAAGCTCAGCCCTGGTGGAGCTGGCATTCCAGGGGGACCAGACAGAGAAGGAGGAGATGAACCAGGAGACGAGAAACGTCCGCGGGTGGTCAAAGCTGGGGGGAAGAGGGCGGTGGGCCACAGGGTGGTGGCTGCACATGCTGGATGGAGGTGGCGAGGCCTCCCTGAGAACGGTTGAGCCAGGGCCTGATGGACGTGGAGGAGGGAAGCGGCTGCATGGATATCTGGAGGAACAGTGTCCTGGACCCAGGGAACAGCAAGTACGAGGTCCCTGAGGCAGATCATGCCTGGGGCTTCTGTGGGTGCAGGAGGGCGAGGGGCAGGAGAGACCAGGAGCGACGGGCCCTTTGATGTCTTGTCTTGAGTTCCTTAGAGAAAGGTCTGGCGGGTTCGTCTGATAACTTCACATGGGCTCCGAATCTCCCTTCGAAATGCAAATATCATCCTGCTGCTGAAATGCTGGGGCTTTCTGGCAGGAGACGGTTGTTTCAGACCTCAACTACAAAGCCTTCTGCTTCTCCAGGGCTCCTTCACACAGGACTCTTGGCATAGGAGAAAGGGCCTGGGTTCGAGCCCTGGTGCCTGGCTCTAGCTGTGTGACCTTGGGAAAGGCACTCAAACTCTTGGAGCTTCCGTTTCCCTGGTGAACCTCACTCATGGGTAGCCTCGTCTGTGAAATGGGTGAATGACACAGGCGTGCATGCTTACCTCCCTGGATCGCTGTTAGACTTAAATCAACGAGGTCACACCTGTGCACAGACACCGGCAAGACCAAGGTCAGGCAGGTTTTGGTTTTCTTCGGCCAAGTCTGTGATAAGGGGGCTGTCACCGGCTGCCCATTCCCCTCCACCGCTCTGCTCCGCAGGGCGTGTCCCACACAGCCCCGCTGCCTCTCGCATTGCCCGGGCCCATGTCAGATTCTGAGACCTGCATCGAACACTCGGGGACCGGGGAGGCTAGGCTGGCTGGGGCGCCCTGACCCACGGCCTCATCCTGGAGGACTCCCAGCCCGCTGCTCCCGCCGGGGGGGCCTGGCTGGGTCCTGCCGGCCTCCCAACGCTCTCCCCATTCCTCTGCCAGGTATAACGGCCCCAACCTGGTTCTGAAGTACGACCGGGCCCAGAAGCGGCTGGTGAACATCGCGGTGGACGAGCGCAGCTCCCCCTACTACGCGCTGAGGGACCGGCAGGGCAACGCCATTGGGGTCACGGCCTGCGACATCGACGGCGACGGCCGCGAGGAGATCTACTTTCTCAACACCAACAACGCCTTCTCGGGTAAGGGCTGCCCCCTGCCCCGTCTTGCTCCCAGCAGCGATCACGGCGGGGGGGGCTTGGGCGCCCCCGCCCCGCCCTTCCTCAGGCTCCCGCAGGCACGGTGACCTGCCGCCTCGGGGACCTCTCTGGGTCCAGAATGGCCCTTCCCCTCCTGTGCCTGAGCTGGTGGCTCTCGGCCCCAGACCTGGGCCCGGAGGGGGACGCGGTGTGTAGAGGCCAGCGCCCGCCCCCACAATGTCCTCCGCCTCCCGGCCCTCACCCCCTCCACCCCCTCAGCTTCCTCCCTGGTGTGGACACTCGTCACTGTCACCTGGGTCACGCCCATGGAATCCCCATGCTGGCCCTTAGGGGCTTTCTAAGCTGCTCAGAGATCTTCCAGGGGCCCCCACCACTTTCAGTTGAACTCATTCATTCATTCCACAAATTCTGCTGCGTGCCTGTGCTATGCCACATAAAGTTTTTGTTGTTGTTGCTGTTGGTGTTAGAGTCGGAGTCTCACTCTGTTGCCCAGGCTGGAGTACAGTGGCATGATCACAGCTCACCGCAGCCTCGACCTCCTGGGCTCAGGCGATCCTCCCGCCTGGGCCTCCTGGGTAGCTGGGACTACAGGTGCATGCCACCACACCTGGCTAATTTTTTCCTTATAGAGATAAGGCCTCGCTAGGTTGCCCAGGCTGATCTTGAACTCCCAGACTCAAGCCATCCTCCCGCCTTGGCCTCCCAAAGTGCTGGGATTACAGGCATGACGGCATGCCTGGCTAATCTTTTTATTTTTGTAGAGACGAGGTCTTGCTGTGTTGCCCAGGTTGGTCTCGAACTCCTGGGCTCAAGCAACCGTCCTGTCTCAGCTTCCCAAAGTGCTAGGATTTCAGGTGTGAGCCACCACACCTGGCCCAGGTACAGTTTTAAAGAAGGAAGACTAGGAGCTCATGGAGCCTATTCCAGCCAGAGCTCAGACTGAAGTGTGCATCCAGGTGCCCTGGGAGTCTTGCATCAAACAGACTGACTCGGCAGGCCTGGGTGGGGCCTGAGACCCTGCAGTGCTGACCCCGCCCACACTCGAGTAGCAGCATCTTCACACTGGAGAGGGTGGAGGGAAATTGATGCCCAGAGGTTAAACGATAGTAACAATAGTGGTAACAGCAATACTTAAGTGGCGCCTACTGTGTCCCCGGCCCTGATCTACCCATGTATGATCATTATCTCATTTAGGCCTCACGGCAGCTCAGTTAGATACTGGTGAACCCAAGGAAACTGAGGCACAGAGAGGTTGCCTGACTTACCACAAGGCCACACAGCCTGCAAGTCCCAGGGTTCAAACCCAGATCCATCCTTTTAATCAAGCCGCTCTGTGTAGTTCCTCAGTCCTGTGTCCCTGGGGCCTCATGGAAAACCTGGTTAGTGGGGCCCGCCCAGCGTCCCCTTAGCTGGAGCCCTGGCTGGTGGGGTCACCCACTGTTCTCTAAGCTGATGACCTGGCTGGTGGGGTCACTCAGTGTCCCCCGAGCTGGGACCTGGCTGGTAGGGGCCGCCTAGTGTCCCCTGAGCTGGGACCTGGCTTGGGGGGAATACCCAGTGTGCCGTGAACTGGGTGCCCAATTGGTGGGGACCACCCAGTGTCCCGTGACCTGGGGACCTGGCTGGTGGGGACTGCCCAGTGTTCCCTAAGCTGGGGCCCTGGCTGGTAGGGTCACCCAGTGTACCATTAGCTGATGCCTGGCTGGTGGGGACCACCCAGTGTCTTGTGAGCTAGGGCTTGTGTCCCGTGAGCTGCAGACCAAGGTGATGTCCACCCCCAACTCTCATGTTTCTCCGGGCTCAGATCTCAGCCCACTACAGTGAAGTCCACCCCTATGGAACTTTAATGTCTGTGGGAAGCCTCAGGCCATGGCATCCACCTGGGGGGCCAGGTTGGGCGTGCCCTGAGTTCCTTGAGGTGACAGCAGCCTCTAGGGTCGGCCCTAGATGAGACGCTGCAGTTCAGACCCGTATGGGCACCACGCTGGGCCTCCCAGCCTCCTGGAAGCCGGTGATTGCCTGGCTATGGTGACCCTGGCTATGGAGGCCATCTTCCTTGCCCCCACGGTGGTCAAGCCCAAGCCAGGACCCACCCCCTCACTGACCCCCAGTGTTGAGCCCGGGTCCAGGCCCATGAATGGAAGGGGACGAGGTTGGGTCCTGGGCTGGGCAGGACAGACAGTGCTGCCTGGCTGGCGGCCACCTCTGTGCAGCCAGGAGGCGACGAGCCCGGCCCGGGGCAGTGCTTTATGGGTTCTCATCTCATCTGGCCACCGAGTGAGGCCGGAGAGATGGTAATTATCCTCACACAAATATCAGGGCCTGATCACGCAGCTGGATTTACTGCCCTGTCCCCAGCCGAGCCGAGATGGGATTAAGATGCAATTAACGGATGGGCCCATCAACCAGAATGTGGGACAAGGTCGCCAGGGAGCCGTGTCCGTATCGAGGGACACCTGTCGGGGGTGAGTCCCAGGGATGTCTCTGGAGGCCTAGAGGCAGGAACGGGGAGGACAGCGGAGGGACAGGTGCCCGTGGCAGGGGACAGAGGGTCCTCGCTCACCAAGCACAGAGCACCTGCCGTGGCACCGCCAGGTGTCCCCGAAGCAGCAGCCTCTCCCACACTCTTAGGGTGTCCGCTTGTGAGCCCTGGAGCGGGTTTCCAGCCCAGGCCGTGCATTCTTCTCCCTGGGGAACTTCCAGCATTCCCAGCTAAGCTGTGACGCAGGCAGCCCAGCAGAACCTCTGGGGCAGGGCCCAGTCACCAGGCGGGAAGTTTTCCAGGGCATTCCCATGTACCCTGAGGTCGAGGGCCACTCCCTAGCTCCAAGCTCACCCCACTCTTTCGAAAAGGAATTTGTCCACCGGGCAAATGTTTATTGAGCACCTCCTATATGCTGGGCACTATCCCAGGCACAGAGGCTGCCTCAGTGGGTGAGACACAAAAACCCTGCCCTTGCGGGTTTCCCGCTCTGACCTCAGCATGGTCTTGGATTTCTGTAGGGGTCTGACTCCTCTCCCAGCCCCCTGTACTCTAAGCTCCTGGGGCCAAATTTCCTTAGGGTTCATTCTGTGGCCCCTGCTGGCCCCAATCAGACATTGCTCAGCCAAAAAGCTGGATTAAAATTTGGACAATGAGAAAATCCCAGGAAGAGCCCTAGGCAGCGCCCCTTAGGCCTGAGGGGAACTCACGGATACAGGAGAAGCAGGGAGACAGGCAACGTGGAGGCCCCAGGAAGGTCCGGGATCCCACAAGTGCACCTGGACAGGCTGGAGCCGGCCCCAGAGCTAGGTGAGGACGACGGTGCCCAGTGGCCTCTCGCCAGGCGTGCCGGTGACCTCCTTGAGTCTGAGGGATGCCTGTGGTTGGAGTTAATTTTTCAGTCGAGTGAGTCCATTGATTCCTGGGCAGCGGGTGGGGTGTGGAGCCGGGACTTGGTGTCGTGTCAGCACTTTCCGGGTCCAGCTGGCACGGTGCTCAGCCATGCTGTCCTGCCCATGCTCCAGGGCCCTGCCGGCCCAGGCACGCCCATGGCATTGGTCTGTGGCTTCCTCAGCCCGTGCCAGGGTGCCGGGGGCGGTTGTGGGAGGACCGCCTCCTCCAGCCAGGCTTGAGAGGTCAGCCTCGAGCCCCTGCATCCCAGTGCCCTGTGGGAGCCGGTTCGTAGAAACCTGGGATCTGCCCCTTCCTTGCTGGGTGACCTTGGGCAAGCACTTGACCTCTGTCTGTTTCAACTCCCTTGTCTGTAGGACAGGAAAAGTCACATCGGCTTCATAAGCTCAACTCCCGCCAGTGGCTGTGATAGCTATATCAAAAGCCTCTTCCCTTGCCCGTGACACCCTCCTGAGGGGGCCTGGCTGCCTCTCTGGCTTTCTTTCCTGCCGTCTTCCTCCACCGCCTTTCCCTCCAACACCTTCATACTTGCTGTTCCCTCTGCCTGAAATGCTTTTCCCAGTGATGCTCTCCAGGCTAACTCCTTCCCTTCATCCAGGCCCCTCCTCAAATGAGTCTTCCCTGAGCACCTTGTCTAAAGGCACCCCCCCATCCCCCGCTTCCTTCTCCTTCCTTGCTGCCTTCTGAAAATACGCCTTACATTTGGGTGGCCCGTCTCTCCCGGGAAGGTCTTACCTCTGGGTTGGACGCTCAGTCTCTTTCGCTGCTGTACTCCACACCCAAAGAAGTGCTCGTCACTTAGTAAACATTTTAATACACATATTTTGGGGGCCAGGCATGGTGGTTCACACTTGTAATCCCAGCACTTTAGGAGGCCAATGCAGGAGGATCACTTGAACCCAGGAGCTCAAGACCAGCCCGGGCAACATAACCAGATCCCGTCACTCCAAAAAATACAAAAATTATCTGAGCCTGGTGGTGGGTGCTTGTAGTCCCAGCTCCTTGGGGTGCTGAAGCGAGAGGATCATCTGAGTCCAAGAGTTCAAGGCTGCGGTGAGCTATGCTTGCACTACTGCACTCCAGCCTGGGTGACAGAGTGAGAACCTGTCTCTAAAAAATAAAAATAAATAAATATATTTGAACAAACACCGAGATAATGAAGGAAAAGCACACATGACTGTGCCTAGGCTTGACAAGCACTCTCTGAACTACAGCTGTTATAATTCTGCAGCTGTGAAGAAAGCCAGAGCCTCTAAAGTGTCCTGGGCAGAGGGTCACAGGCCTTCCCCTGGCTCATGGGAAGGAGAGACCCTGAGAGCAAAACAAGGAAGGACCGTAATGCAGCACCATCCTGACGGGGGCACCCAGTGGGTGTGGGGCTGGGTTAAGAGCTAGCCGGCAGGCAACCGCCAGGAAGAGAGGAAAGGGTGACCCTCGTCACAAGCAGGCCTGGGCCCAGAGCCAGCTGTGGCTGACGCGACCTGGAAAGATTCAGACCAGCGTGTCTCAGGCATTGCCACGGAGTGCCAGCCAGGCAGGGGACGTGCGGGGCACAGGGGGCGAGAGACAGGTGCTGGCTCCTCTTCCC